AATAGGACAAACACCTGGAGGTACTGTTGCAGCACCTTGAACTCTGTCAGTGAGGCCTTTATGAAAAAGATTCTAGCATCGGAGGGAATAATCTCAATAATTGACATGCAGGATGATATGAAGTTAAAAAGTTCTGTGCAGCAAAGGAAACAACCAGCAGAGTAGAGACAATCTGTATGATTGATCAGGGATTAATAATATGGATTCTGTAAAGAACTGCCCAAAATAAATTATATCAAGTCATCCAACCAATAAATGGGTGAATAAGTTGAACAGACAATACGCAAAAGAAGAAATACAGATGCCTAATAAATATTGGGGAATGGTTCAGCATGCTTGGCCATCAGGGCCATGCAAGTTAAGGCCACACTGAGATTCTGTCTCACCCCAGTCAGAATGTCTGTCATCTAGAAAACAAACAACAACAAATGCTGCTGAGGAATGCAAGCTGGAGCAGCCATTATGGAAGTGTTTCAAAAACTAAAACTAGAGCCACCATCCAAAGGATTCCAAGTCAGGAATATGGAAACATTATTTAATATAGCACTGCTCTCAATAGTCAAGATATGCAACCAGCCTATAGGTCCATTGATAGCTGAATGGATAAAAAAACAAAAAACAACAACAACAACAAAAAACAACAACGTGGTGTATATACACAGTAGTATTTTGTACCACTGAAAAGAATGAAAGTATATCATTCTAGGAAAATGGATAGAACTTGAGATCATGTTAGATGCAATCCCCAGACTCCAAAGGACATATAATGTATATTTCCTCTCATGTAGAATCTAGATTTACATTCATATACAGATGCATATACATAAGGAGGTCTTGAAAGTAGAGATGAGGTTACAAAATAGAGAAAGGTCTAAAGGAAAGGGGGGCAGGAGACAATAGTGAAAACAGAAATGAGGGGGAGGGGCAAGTTGGAAGAACATATACTGACACATATAAAAATGCCACATTGAAACCCGTTACTTATATGACAGCACATCACAAAATAGTGGGAGAACACTATTCCTCACTGTGCGGCTCTCTTCAGGTCACCACTGTCACCTTTACTGTTTAATCTACCGTCCCCCCATGTGTGTTGGGGAGCAGTCTGCTCCTCTTCATGACTTATCAGTAAGATAACCCAAAGCTTTTTCTCATGATGGGGCTGAACTTTTGGCAACTATGACCCTCATGTTTATCAACAAGGCAGGGTGGGAAACTGACTTCTTAATGGAATGGCTGCCTTAAGCCTTCTTTTGGTTGTATGGACAAATGAAATCCTTATTGGCAGCACTCTGGTCTTGCCCATAGAGGACATATTTTGTTAATCATTGGCAAAGATCTCTGTAGGTCATGCTTACCTTCCAGATCTCTATTACCTGAGGACTTTACCACTCTTGGTATTATCAGGGAGGGGTCCAGTGCTATAATGTCATCTTTTACCTTGAGTACTGGCTTACTGGCCTATTATACATCTTTATTGTTTGGTAAATAAAATAAGATAAAATAAAGAAAATGGTAGATTAAAAAGTCTATCCCTGGGCAAAGATCTTCCTGGTAGGCAGGTTTTCCTGTTACTGGAGTCTATGCCAGCACTTTCATCTCTCTGAGCATTTGGTCCCTTTCTCCAGCATGGCTGTTGTACAGTTTTGTTTTATTTTTTATTGGCTAGGATTCAGCTTTTGTTTTCTCCCACCTGAGCAGCTTGTCATCAGTAGGTGTGCATTGTTAAATAACATATAAATAAACTCTACCTTGCTTTACTTTATAATGTACCTCCTTGGGACCCTCACATAGTCTTTTCTTCACCAGTTTGTCCAGGTCCCTATTGGTGAGGCTTCACAGCTCCTTGGAGATCTAGCCCTTTTCCAGTCAGCTGGCCAGCATCTCAGCAGCTGGGTGATAACGTGACATAACTGGTCCACTGGTCTGACGGTTGGCAGAGGAGCTAGGGACATTCATTATTATCCTCAACTACGCAGCCTTTTCTATTTCAACCAGGATTTCTTTCTGGAGCAGCAGACCTTGCGAGGTCAAGAACTCTAGCTGCTCTGGAACTCCACTTCTCACTGTGAGCCTGGGGTCTGACGCACATCTCGCCTGTGGTTGCAGAAGAGGTCCTCTGTAATGTTGCCAATGGATATCTCTGACTCTCCCGTTTAGCTTTTCATTGGGACTATAATCACCCTTAGCCTTTCATTGTCTCCCTTAGGTGCACTAGAATAGTCATCAAAACTGATCATTCTTTTAGAAAAATTATTTATTTAATGTGTTTGAGCATTTGCTTGTCAACAGCTGTGTGTGTGTACCATGCTATGCCTGGTGCTTGCAGTCGTAACAAAAAAGGGATTTGGATGCCTGGAAGTGGAGTTACTGCCAGCTGTGAGCCACCATGTGGGTGTTGAGAATCAAACCCTGGTCTTTTGCCAGAGTGGCTACTGCTCTTGCCACCTCTTCAGCATTATCTATGTTCATTGTTCTATTTACACTTTTCCTTACATCGCAAATGGCTGCTATGGTGGTTCACGCAGTGTCACCCTCTATCAGTATCCTGGCCAGAGCCATCATCAGTGGGTTTTAATAACTGTACATCTCTAGTGTGCCACAGGCTGTGTTTGTCTCTTACTTCTTCATTTTGTGGTCAGTTGTAGCAAATCCTGTTCCAGAATGTTCATGGTACCAAGTAGCTCTTTGGGATGCAGACTGAGAGGAGTGGGAAGGAGGGAGGGAGAGAGGGAGGGAGGGAGGGAAGGAGGGAGGGAGGGAGGGAGGGAGGGAGCACTGATTAGATTTGTGGTATGGTGTTCTCAGGATCAAGGCTGCAGGGGAGGAATGCAGGTCTGAGCAAAGGGAGCCATTTATCTGTAAAGCAGTCAGTAATGGCTTCAGCCAACCTTCCGTGCAGTTCTAGAGCTATGAGGTTATTTGTTTTTACAGTTATTCACATCCAAAGTTTTTGGTGAAAAGCAAGAAGGTTGCCATACCATCTGGCAAAGAGGCTGATGAACGTGAGTAGAACCTTGGATCTCTATCAGGCACGTTCTGAGCTATCCAAGAGTGAAGATATTAGAGAGGATGCTCACAGCCAAGACACAAAATATGAGGACACAATAACCCAGCGCTTTCCAAAAGGCAGGGTGACCGTTTTTATTCCTACTAAATGTCACTTACATGAAAACTGTTCACTTACACTTAGGGAACACTTAGTGAGCGTTGTTGCTTTTCTGTAGTGTAATCTCATAGATTTAACAGCGTAGTATCCATTTACTTGATGCCATAATTGCAAACCAGGCACGGCACTCCAGGCTTTCTCTGGGGGCTCTTAGATTTATCAAGTAGCCTTGGATTATCAGCGTTCTTACTTTGAAATAACAAAACTGAACATCTCCAGCTGGACCTGTCTTCTCAGAAAAGAGTGCCATTTACTAATTTGAGGAAAGGTAAACAGAGGCTGTACTTCAGTAATCTTTTTGAGAAGACTCAGCTATGAGCACTACCCTGTTCTTAGGATTCCTTTGTCCTTCAGAGCTTGGCTGGAAGGTCTGGCAACATATGGCTCCCTTGACTTTTTACCTGAAGGGAAGAGAATTCCCAATTGTTTGCCCATTGTTGTATCCACAGAAGGGACCCAGGTCTGCAGATAAGAATCAAGTGAGTTGCTTTTTTTCCCCCATAAAGGAGCAAAGCCTTTCATTTAGAAGGGTCCTAATTAGGGTACCTGGATAAATGATAGGTTTATGAAGATTTGGGAAACTACAAATCATTTTAGCTCTAAAGGTGAACCAATGATTTTTCTATGTAAATGGTTGAACTAAATTAGAAGACAAATCTGTCACAGTCATAATCACATGAACTGAAAGTTATAGAAATAAGGAGTCTGAACACTTATCATCTTGGTATACCCATATTTCTGACTATACAGTTTAAAAGGATCATACTTTTAAATACTCAATAGTGGGGGCTCAGTTCATTTAAATAACAATTGCAAACACAAGGCCCTCAATAAGTAGTCTATTTTCTTTTCCCTTTTTAGTTTGTAAACAGCAAAGAGAACTGGAGCATCTGATTTTTGAAATTCTTGTGGCTTCTCTGTTTGACCTTTGGTATTTGTATGTATTGACGATCTCTAAACCCTTGTACAAAAACACCTTGAAGTGTCAAGCTTTAAAAATGAGTCTTTTCTCTTTCTCCTGTGCAGCTTGTATTATCTTGGCCTTGTCAAAATATATTCTCTAGTTAGAGGGTGGAAATATTTCCCTCCTGGCTCTGAAGTATTGATTTTCTCCAACACTCAGTTCTGTCAGTCAGGCAAAGGGGTGAAAGGTGAAAGTTCACCCAGCACTGCTTGTCTTTACCTTCCTATTAATGTCATGCCCTTTCCACATTTGATCAGTTTATGTGATCACCAGCCACACAGAACTATTACTGCTCTTCTTTTCCTACAAGGACACATTTACGTTATCGCCAATTCCCAGGGATGATTATGCTGATACATGGCTGACTCGAGTCAAGCTGTTCTGCATTCTCGTATGAAAAGCAGGAGAAAGGTTCAGTTGTTGTGGAATGCTCAGTGGGTGACTAGAACATTTGCTATTCTTACCTCAGCATTCAAATTCGACTTTAAACTGAAGATGGAATAAAATGAATCCAATGATCTCCATGTCTGATTCCAAGGCAGATAGCCCCTGTCATGAGGCCTGACAGGATACAATTCAGTACAATGTCTATCTGTTTAGGTGCAAGTCAGGCTGGAGGTAAAGCAGGATGCATGCAACTGCCCTGCCCAGGCCGTAGAGGATGCTGCTGAGTTTCTCCATCTGGCCTCAAGCAAGAGCCGTCACTGCTCTACTGTCCTTTGAGAACAAGGTTAGTCACCTTTCCTGAAACTTGCTCTCCAGTAAAATGAATAGCTACAAACAGGAGGGCAAGAGGGATAAATGGGTTCCAACAGAGAATGTTTAAGAGGGACCACAGCAAACAGTAAGAACAGGATAAAAACAATCTTCAGTACACTTCAATTTTATTTAACACAAGTATGTACACAGCAATGTTAAACATACATATAGGATCTATTAAATGCATTCAGCCAGAATGCCTTAGGAGGTAAGACATTTTAACTCAGCCACTATGTGCAGTGTCAAACATGACAACGTTTTCATACAGGTGTCACATCATGTCACCTTTTGCTTGTAAATTACCACTGAAGCCACATATGTCTTTATATTTACAAGGACGGGTCCAAGTGCTGTGTCAACAAAATCAATAAAACACTACAACCATACTGGGAGGATGACAATACAAAGTTTACCCCAGTGTTGAGGAATCCACACTGAGATGAAGCTGGGGACTATGGTTGTCAAAACAGCAAGAGAGCGTTATGTTAACAAGAATGTGAATGACACTCTATCAGTTAGTGACTCTTCTAGCATGAAGCTTTATGTGCACAGAGTTTTATAGTCCTTGTGCTCTTCTGAACATATACACAGTGCACGGAAGGACTGGCCTGGACCTATGACCAGAAGTTTGTCCTGTGACCTCACTGCTTTGTGCCCATCTCTATGATGTGATAGCATCTGTTGTTGACTTCCAGTCCTGTATCTCTTTCAAAATGTATAGAACATTTTGCTTAAAAAAACAAAAACAAAGTTCTGTGTTTGCTTATCATTCTAACTAGTTTAACTTCTCCCTCTAAAGTTCATCAAGTAAATCTGTGTTGAGCAGACAGCAGGCTCTAGAGGTCGCTGGACATGTCTCCATCTACATCAGATATATTAGCATGGTCACAAATGTCTACACTGTAGAGTTCTTGGTTTCTTTCTTGGAAGCTACATATATAATCATTATAAATACAATATACATGCATGTGAAATAAATTCACTTTTGAAAGAACCCCAACATCAAAACCCAAGAGACAGTATAGAGTTGCCATCAATGAAAATAACACATATCGCTAGGCAAAAGACACGGAGGGCATTCATTAGCTTCTTCACATGTTCTTTGAAGGACTGTAAACTATGTGTTTATTCATGGACCTTGATCCTACTTTTCTACATGTGACATAAACTTTGGCAGTCTATGAGTTTGAGACTAAATGCTCTCATTATCACTTTACTCTGTTAATATTATATATTTATATATATTTTCTTTGAATTCAGTAACTCCTTTTCAATTTTTATATATAATAAACAATCTTATGTAACTAACCAATCGACCAAAACACAAATCAACCTCCACTAATACAAATCAAAAGATTTAGGAACAACTCATACGAAATGCTGTTATGGATTTTTTCTTCCATTACAACTAGACCAACATAACTTGACACAAGAAGAGAGTGAAGTGAGGCTTGGGTTGAAGCATGAACAATTTCACTGTAGTGTCCACTCAAGCAGACTGACAGTCTTCACATTTTCTGTACACCTTGAACAGTGTGTCTACACAGTTATGAGATTTCTAAGATGCTGACTTAAATGCCTTCCTAGCTATTCTTTCACTGGTCAGAATTTGGAAGCTCAGGTTGAAATGATCACTGTAAGTGACATTGTTGTACACCTGAGAACATGTGAAAGAACCCAAGAGGAGGCCTTTCCTGAGCAGGAGAACCTAGTGACACATGGGTGACACTTCACTATATAAACATGCTATGCTTCTAAACTTGGTTGTTTGTTGAAAGTCCCCTTAGAAGGTTGGCTATAGTCACTGCATGGTGAATAGTGATGATCTGTATTTTAAACTATGAAATCTACTAACGTTTAACCAGAAATGAGCATTTAGAAAGCTAGCTATCTAGAAAGCTTTTCTAGAAGGAAAAATATGTATGTAATTTAATTTTTTCTTACTATGTTCTCAAATCAGGATTGGTGTTACTGAGAAGGTAGCGGATAAATCCTTGGACACGGACTTGAGTAACTGCCTATCAATTGCTAGTAGGAAAAAAAACTGTAAACATGGAGTGGTTTAGTAAACAACAGTATGTTTGGGAAATCCAAAGGGAACTCATTTCAATAAGGAGGACTCCACATCACGCCAGCATCCAGGTCCAAGCTAGGCTTCTAGGGCTGGGAGTGCCATCACACTGGTTATTGATTCTCAGGCTTCTGTTGCATCAAGCAACAAGACCATCTCCAGGAACCACTAGCTGTCCCCTCCTATCTCTGGCAGGGAAAAACTACCTAGTAACAGAATGGTCACATCCTGTTGAGTAGTATGTGCGTGCCTTTAAATTGATAGGCTGCTGCTGCCCATGTGGAATCTGCCCCCACGAAGCATGCGCAAATGACACACACTGGGCCATGGTCCTGGATGGCATTGAGGGGGCAGGAAGCAAGCAATAGTCCAGTAGGAGGACAGAGCAACATCGGCCTAGACAATACAAAATCAATCGACAGTCAGGACAGCAACAGCAGGGTCAGACCATGAAGCGGTGTTCCTTCCCATCATGGGCCATGAGGATAACATTCCGGTTGGAAGTCCAGATGAGCCGGGCCAACTTAAGGGCGTTGTGGGAGCCAGGAGATGCAGGCTGCACTGGAGGTACCTGGTAGGTCTTGATGCAGCGCAGCTGAGGTGCGGAGTTCAGCATGCCAATGCTTCCCAGGAGTGAGGTGTTCATCTGCAGGGACAGGGCACACACATATCAAGACACATGTCAAGACCTTCCCTTCTCCTCCACAGAGAGTGGCTTATTTCTTCTGCTACTCTCTCCTCCAGCATGGCGATGCACACTCAGCTGTGAGTTATTTAACTCTAAATGACTCCTTTGAGTAGATTTCAAATTGTTGTGATGCCATTGATGTGAACACAGAAGCCTGGAGAAATTTTCCTTTGTGAGTATAATGTGACAGTACAGAGTCCGCTGATTCTGAGGAAAAGCTAAATTAAGGCTCTAATAAAACAGCTCTATCAGACAGGATTTGGTTTCTAATTGATTGAGGAAAGTGAAGTACATCCAAGTTATGGATAGAGTGGGAACTGTCTGGGCCCCACTCTAAGCCGCATTCCCAGTACCAAGGAGCATTACACACATGTACCTTTCCAAAAGCTCTGGAAAAACATTGAGTGTGTGTGTCAGGGGTCATCCACAATCACTTCCCGCCACCACGTCTCTCTTCCTGAACCTGGGCCTCACACATTCAGCTCCTCTAGCTCACACACTTGGCCAGGGAATCCCTTGCCTCCTCTCTCTGCCTACCAAGTGCCAGGATTTCAGGTGTGCTACCGCAGCAGCCCAGCATATCTGTGGGTGCTGGGATCCAAACTCAGTTCCTCAGCATGTTACCCACTGAGGCATCTCCTGAGCCCCCAGCTCAGAAGTGAGAACTGTCATTCCACCCCCCTGCTACCCTGCTAAGGACAATATGGTTTTGCCTTTTTGAGAGTTTTTCTGGGTTTGCATTAAAAATGTGATTTTTCTTTTAATCCATTTACAAAATGAAAACATGAAAATTATGGATCCTGAGCAACCATGTAAGTAGATTAAGGTGCTGAATATCAAATAATTATTGTCTAAGTGGCCTGGTTTTGGAACCACTGGGTTTGAAGGTTTCTTGAAGAGCTTAATATTACTTAAACGACTTCTATATGCATTATCTGTGCTACTATAAATCACAGAGAGAGCATTCTGAAACCTGGAAAGAAGCCTTGGAAATAATCTTCGTCCTCCACACTGATATCCACTTCCTATTCCTCTGGTGACTAAAGCATCTTCATCTACATGGACCACATGCTGGCTATGTGAACAAAACATGTCTATGATGACCCATCGGCACCAGCAGTTGAAATCTGAGCAGATGTTCGGACCTTTAAGATGTGTTACTGTGATACCATGCTCTGAATTTGGATCAGTGCAAAATATAAGCCATTCCTTTTCCCAGGCTTCTCGGTAGCAGGATGGTGTCAGAGGGCGTAAATCATGGCATCTCTAGCAGGGTGCGTGCAAGCTCCGCTGACATTTTCACAATTTAAATCATCTTGAGTAATAACCCTTTTAAGATGACTAATGTTACTGATTTTCCTGCATTAATAATAGTGCCGAACACAACACAAGAGGTGAAAAAAATCACTAGTGTACGAGGTCACATTTTAAACCAAATGTATGGTCATCATTAACTCTTTCTGGTAAAGTTCAGCTGAAGTCAGACAGTGCCTCACCTGTCAGCCTCCCAAGGTCTCTTTCCTCGTTTCTTTTCCTCTTTTTCCTAAAAGACCCCATAAAAGATAACACCCTAAGCCTTACTGCTTCCTGGGGGTTCTGTACTGTTTTAAATGCAGATAAGGATGGTGATCTCGATTTGCTAGTCTAACATCTATAAAACCTAACATTATATAATTAGTCCTCTTATAGAACAGATCCAATTGATCCAGGAACTTGTTAGTTAAAATTTACTGGCATCAACAAGTGTACTATACTTTAAAGATATATGATTTCTCAGTTGATAAATAGCTACAAAGTATTTTAATTCCTTATGGATTTGCTATGAGAATATTTATGAAGCTTGAGTTCTGCTTGTAGCTGAAGATGCAAAGGGCATATAATAGGCTTGAATATGCCTTGATTTTTAGTCATTCCTTGAAATGTAGTCGTTTACAAGAAATGGTCTGAGAATATCTTGTAGACATGCCATAGACAGGCACATTTTATAAACAAGCCACTGTTGTAGCTGGGTTCCCATCATAAGCTGAGTCTTTTTGCACTGCTCAGGGCCTCAATCAAAAAGCCTTCCATCTTAGAACAGGGTACACTGAGTTCTCAAAGGTACACACTGTTTGTTAGAGGTGTGGAAATGAAGACCCATGGTCTCACCAGATTTCATGTTTAGCCTTTGCCTACAGCCCTTCAAAGGAGGCCTGTTCTTAGTTCTCAGGATGAGAGTTAATTCTCAACGAAACAATGAATCACTCTGCTAGTCATCATCATTATTTTATTGACTGATATCTGGCTATAAACTATGATAAACTCAACTCAAGGAAACTTAAAACTTTGAGTGAAAGCTACATGGAATTACAAAATTTATCAATATTAAGTATTTTTCTTTATTACAAAAAATCATAAATATTATAAAATTTTAAATAGAAGTATAAAAAAGAAAAAAAAACCTCCCCAAATCCTATCTCCTTTGACAAACATTGTCAGCATTTTGGTAAACAACTTTTGGACCTCCCTAACATTCACTCATATACCCTGCACACATATGCACAATGTATACACACACAAAAATCACACATGCACACACAATCGCATGCATACTCAAGCACCTGGCATACATATGAAAACTGTAACACAATCATATACATACACACTTACACACTTACACACTATGTATTCATGTGCACCATGTGAGGACATGTCATATGCACTCGCAAGCTCATACCCTGCACTTATATGTACACTGCATGCAATACCACACACACATACCACATGCACATTCAAATACCTTGCACCTGTACACAATGTATGCACTCATAATGTGCACATATACACACATACACATATCACATTAAGAAGTTGCTTCACCATCTGCTCTTCCATTCAACAACATGTTAAGGCAACCTTCATGCTACGACGACAGATTTACATTCCTGGTTTTGAGTGGCTGAGTAGCACTCCACTGGATGATGGAGGAAATAAAAAGAAACCAGCACCTATGTAATGTATTAACAATTTTATTTGTTAGGTGGTATTGGTAATTTCTGGAGAGAGTTAAGGATGTTTTTCATTAGCAAACTCTCCTAGCTGTGATATTAAACAGATATACTGAAGTGAAATATTCAAATTGTAGAAATATGGTATATGGCTGCCAGACCATGCTATTTAATAGCTAATTATATAAACGGACTAAAACCCAACACTGGCTTCTCCCTTTCCTTCAGACATATGCATCACTACACTACTTATGTGAAGATTGTTTTCTGAACAAAAAAACACACATAGATATAATTAATCAAAACAAGAGAATATTTTAATGCCTTCCTCAGTAAGTAATGCAGTATACAAACCTTTTACTGAGTCTCACTTGAGTAATTACCCAACCAATATTACTCATTAACACTCATTTCTCAGCAAAGATTTTATAGCTGATAGTTTTAGTAAGGCTTTGTATTAATAAGACTTCATTAACTTTTCAAAATATATTATAGTTCACTTCCTGGAATGATCAAGTCTTTTCAGATAGCATTAGACCTGAGCGACATGGGTGTACACCAGGACAGCAGCAGGAGACTCCACCATTGCACTGGAGACTCTCTTTAATAAAACAAAACAAAACAAACAATAAAGCCAATGCAGTTCTGAAGAGCTGTGCTATTTTCTTGGACAGCCGGAATGATCTGTTTTCATGCCTTCCATTTACACTTTGAGCAACATAGGAGGTGACTGCATCTTTCACTCTGACGCTGTCAGAGGGAGGAAAGACCTGGAAGTGGCTGAGCTCTCTAGTGCAGATGGCACCAAGCAGCCTTTGGAGCAGGGAGTCTTATGGAGTCATGTTCACAGGCTCAGATGTTCTGGAAAAAGCCAGAAATGTCAGCGAGCCAGCAGAGAGGGACTAGATGAGGAATCAAGATGGCGCCATCTTGTATATGACCTTGGCTTCTAAAATAAGAATGGACACCCATGTGATCAGAATCTGGATGGGAGTGGAGATGTTTTGAGAAAACAATGAATGAATGTATTAAAAAAGAACCTTGATATAGTTAAGGGCAAGACAAAAGCTTACCACACAACAGATTCAAGAAAGTGTTAAAAAGCTATCAAACTGGGTTTATCTTTTCTGTAATACTGTACTTTCTTAGCTGAACAAAAGTTGACAAAAAAAAAAAAAGCAGGCTTGGCTTGCTCACTCTTTATAAAAAGGAAAGCATGGGGAAAACTAGTCACCTTGAGAACTAGGCTCCAAACTTGCTAATCCTTATTTCTGCAGTGTGGGTCAGAACCTAGCACCTGGAAACACAGGTAGTGTGTAAACACCCATCAAAGACTCCAGAAAAATAGGACCTAAAGGGAAATGTGCATGAAAGTACAGGTGGCATAATGGTGGCCCGCTGTATCAGATGTGAGTAGGAAAAAATGCAATTGGCCAAGCGCTCAGAGGGACTTGTGCTCTAAGCCCATCTGTGGGCACTAATGGTGCTCAGTAGAAATGCTGGACCTGTGGTTGCTCAGAGTGAAGACTGGGTGATGTCTCTGATAGATGGAGTTTAATATGAGTTAATTAAGGTGCTGAAGACACATTCTAGAAAAAGGGATAATGAGAAAATATCCTGGAAGGCTAAATGAGATTAAAAAGGAGAAAAAGGTTCTGACAGATTTGAAGGTGTCACATTTCAGTAGGATGTTGTTAATTAAACAGTTTATTGTATTTGCTTTACATTTTATTAGCTATTGATTTTGTTTTTAAACCATCATCAAGTTGTGTTAAAACCTTGTCAAAACTTTAATTTTATTTCTCAGCTTTTAAAGCTATGTAGCGCATTTGCATCCTCCAAAAAATGCAGTTGTCAACAAAATTTTAGAATAACCCCTGGTGGGAAGGGTATCTTGTTAACATTTTTCTAATTGTCAGAACTAAAAAGAGTTTAAAAAAGGAAGAGAAGATGGTAGTAATTAAACATTTAGTATGAAATAGTCTACTATAAAAATTAGTTGCTCAAAATTAGCATTTAGTTTCATCAATGTAAATATATATATATTCTCACATGTATCCCATGAAGGGCCAGATAAAGATATACAAGGTTATTTTTTAAATGTCTTGGATAGTTTACACATTAAGAACATTATGTGAGTACCAGTCTGGTAGTGCATGCCTATAATCCCAGCACTTAAAGGTGGAGGTAGGATACTGGATTTGAAACCAGCCTGGGTTATAAGGGAGAAACATCTCAAACAAAACAAAACAACAAAACTAAACTAAACAAACAACTCAGCATTCAAACAAAAACATAATGCAAACAAAAAAAGGAGACAAGGGGGCATGCATAAAATAAGTGTCCTATGCTCCACTAGAGCAGATCCAAGGACCTTGTTAGAAATTACTGTAAACTCCTGGCTTGAGTGCAGCTTCCCCAGGATTCATATCCACCTAGGCCTCACCATGTTCTTCCTCTACTGCTCATGGCTCCAGCAGGTGTCCCTTGCTCTGGAAGGCTTCCTAGCACATCGTTCTCAGATTCTCTGTACTGTAATTGCTTGCATGTTTACCTGTGCTTCCCTTAGCATGAAGCCTTGTGACAGTGGGTGCTTTCTTAGCCAGATTGCTGTGTTCTCAGCACACTGCACGTCAGTGCTGAGCACATAGTCAGCACTGGAACACTCACCATTTGTGTAAGGGAGGAAGGACGGGCACAGAGGAAGGCTGGTAGACTGGGCCATCACGAAGACTTCCCCACCTCAGCACATAAAGCAGCACATATTTAAGACTTGCTTACCTGCCAGAAACTAATGTGGCTGTCGGTGTTTGAGTAGGTGGCAAGATAACGCCCATCAGGAGCAAAGGACACTGCAGTGATTGGTCCCTTGTGTCCATGGATTGTCTGAAATAAAATTCATGGGCCATCAGTAACACACATTCCAAAGAACTCTTACAAGTACTTCTGTGAACATAATGTTGAACAGGTGATATCACAGATACTGGATACTGCAAAATCAGGTTATAAAAATTAAAAAAGTGAAAAAAAATTCTTCATGCATGTAATGCCATTAATCTTGTTTTGAGGAGTGGGTCTGTCTTCTATTTGAACATGTATGAGCCAAAAGAGAAAGTGCATTATTAGTGGACAAACCAGACTTAAATTTTCACATTAAAGGCTGTAATTTTGCACCAATGAGAATGGTGTGGTGGCTTACTCTTCATTGTCAACTTGACAACATCTGCAATTAACTAAAAGCCAAATGGCTAGATACACATGTGAGGGATTTATTTATTTATTTATTTATTTATTTATTTATTTATTTATTTTAAATTCCTTTAAGCGGGGGGGGGGGGACTGGCTTTTAATCTAGATCTTTGAGGTGGGAAGACACACCTTTAATACAAATCTTTTGAGCTGGGAAGATTCACTTTTAATTTGAACCACACTTTCTGCTGTCAGCCTATAGAAGACATGGGAAAAGGAAGCTTGCTCTCTCTGGCTGCACGCTCTGGCTCACTAGCTCATTCCTTCACTGGTGTTAGAGTCTACTTCTTTGGGATTCTGGTGCATACTGAAGACCACCTGACACATCCAACAGTGTGGACTGAACAGCTACTGGATTCTTGAACCTTCCATTGGTAGCCAGCCATTGTTGAACTAGCTGGATCACAGCCTGTCAGCCACTCTAATAAGTCCTCTTCATGTAGAAACAGATTCATCCTATCTGTTCTGTTCTAGTGAACCTCAACTAATTAAAAAACAAAGAAGAAGAATCACCAAAAATAACAAAGGAACTTGCTTATCTGAAGTGAAAGCCAAGCTAAACTGTATTGTAATCTTCTTGATGAGTCTCCTGAAACAAGAGACTTTTTCAACTCCTCAATAATTACACAATTTTCATGTTTTATCCTTAATTTGACACCAATAACACTGCGCTTAACTGTATACAACTGCAATTAGTATGCATATGTACATGTACACACTGGAGGTATGGGTACATATAAATCATGTTAACAGGGACAGTCTTGAACCTGTGCCAATAGCTATCATTGATTTAACCATGAATAATAAAAAGGAAGGTGTATTTTAGAGCAGGTCTCTGATAAAAATACACTCATCTGATGGGGTTAATATTTCTACAAAATACTGCATGCTAAGGAAATTAGAATAATAGTGTAAGCTAGCCACCTTCAACTCTTACACACCATACCTTCACTATGCTAGCTAACACCCAGGGTCTTCTCTTTAGTCTGTAATGGAGCAGGGAATGAGTATCAGTGGGCAAAGACTTGTGATGTCATTTGGGTCATAAAGGCTGTAAATTTTTATAAGAAATTTTATATAATTCATATCTGAAAGTTCAAGTGAGAAAGACTAGGGAGTACAGAAAGACATGAGCCAAGCACATTTCTTAATGGCCTTTGCTAGCTTCTTTCCTGCCATTTGATTTGATGGTCAAGGTAATCAAAGAGAGAATGCTATTCTGGTAATATAGGGCTGGGCTTTAGGCAGCAGAGGGAATGGGAACTGAGTCACACTGTCTGAGTGTGCATTTGACTCACTACTTATTCACTATGGAACCAGAGTCACATAATTTAACCTCAAGTATCAGTATCTATAGTACAGGGATGATGACACTGATAGTGACTGTGTGTCAAAGAGCTTTGTGGCAATTAAATGAACTAATATACATATTGTAATCTTCACAGTTCTTAGCACATAATAAACTCAACAAATACTATTGACATGTTTTTCTTATGCTTGTTTACCTAAGAATGACCACACAAATGTTAACAATCACATAACTCAGTTACTTAAGTACAGTGTTTTTTAAAATGACTCCTGCCCTAAAAGTCTAGAATGGTTTATGCCCAAATCAGGATCTTTGGGCATCATAGATTGTTTAAAAACAGACCTCAAACTGCCATTATCAAAGACCCGCGGGAGCTATCCATGGTGCTGGCAACAAGCATGCTAAATAGAGCAGTGGGTACATGTGCTGAATAGTTACTGAAGGAAACCAGTGCAATCAAACAGCATGAGAGAAATTTTCAAAAAAGTAAATGTCGTCTGGCATTGAGCTTAGAGAGCTCAATGGAAAAGCACTTTCATTTTTCAAGATTAGTACCCAGGTCTGGAAAACAACAACAAAAGATAAACAAACCTCATTTCCTTGGGGCCAATTTAAATCTCTATTTTTGGTTAAGATAAATAATTGGTGAAACCCTGGTTTATAATAGAGGGTCATCAAAGCCAAATCATCATCATTATCATCATGATCATCATGATCATCATCATCATGATCATCATCATCATCATCATTATTTTATACTGTGGATTGAACCCAGGGCCTTGAACAAGATGCAAGCACTACCACCAGATACCCCTAGCCCTGTACCGTAGACATTATTTTGTTTTCCTGCAAACTACTTAAGAAGGTTTGGGTCTGCATTTCTAACTTACCATATCTCATGTGAACTGAGCTGCTCAAGAGCTGGCTCTCACTTACACATGGCCACTTCAGCTTGGACACTTGCTTTTCACTAGTGTAGGACTGAGAACAGACCTATGGGCCAGACAAATTCACCTACAGAATACAGGCCTTTCATTGTAACTATATGATTCAAAACAGTTTCCTCCATGCTCTGGAATTTGATTACTCAACTAAAACCATAACCAGACTACAAATTTTTCTAAGAACACGTTGACCCTTCTTGAAAGCCTCAATGTCCAACTGAGTGGGGGTAGAGCAAGCACATTCTGGGCTGTGACCCTTTCACTATCCACACAGAATGCAATATCTGCTTCAGATTAGCATCCTGCCTCAATTAGCAATAAGTGGACTTTAAGCCAGGTACCCACAGAATGTCACATCTAACACCTAGGTAGCACACTTTCCTGGGAAAGTCATCCCTGCAGAAAACTAGAAACCAGGTCCACACTGCCCCATTCGGGATACATTTGGCCAGTCCACTCTATATCCTCATGTTCTATAGAGACTAGAGTCCAGAACATTTACATGATGGGCAGCTTTATGAGAGGAGATGTGGCTTCTCTAACAGATGCCATAAAACTCTTCCTGGTAATATTTTTGGAGGGAGGGAGGGAGGCAGTCAGGAAAATAGTTTGCTTACTAGATACATTTCCTTTTATGGTGAAACAGTTATTACATAATCCAATGGTATTTCCTTTACTGCCAGGAAGCTTAGAATTAAATTTATGCTCAGTTTGTGTCTAGTAATAAATACCGCATATAGACTGTGTTCATCTTCGGCCTGTTTTTATCTAAGTGGTTTGAAGTCCAGATATACACCAAGTTTAAATATATATTTCTTAGAAGTCTGTTTTGAACTAAGTAGGATTATCCTTTATAGCAGGTGAAAGAAAACACATGCAGGCAGCCCACAAATGCAGGTGTGCATGCGCGCGCGCGCACACACACACACACACACACACACACACACACACACACACACACACGTGTGATATAATGCTGCTGAGTTCCCTACAGAGATGCCTCTAAAGAGATCTACAGGAGGTCCAAGAGCACAGCTGCAGCTGACACACAGGTCTCTTGTGGATGAGGCAATCTGACGGGAGTAGGCCAGATGTTCTGCAGTCCACAGTGTGGTACAGCTGCTGAGGTCATCAGTGCCTCAGCCTGGACAGTGCTTTGGCCTCCATTATAATGAAATGTTGTCTTTTGTTCAGATTCTCTGGACTTGAGGATTGGTGCAGATATCACCTGAACTAACTTTAAACTCAACTCCCATGCTGCATTAGACACCCAGGTGTGGATGATCCCACTGAACTTGTAAGTGCCTTGCGAGGCAGCAAACCCAGTCTCAGATGCTAAACACTAAAAGCCATTTTCAAAACAACAGGTGTCTAAAGGTAGTCTGGCTGCTTTTTTATGTTCAAATGAGCATCAATGTCTTATGTGTGTTTTTCCCCAAAGGTATTGGTGTATGGAAAAGATAGAGATGGGATGAAGAAAATTGTCTACTTTTAAAGTTCTAGGAGGAATAAGAAATTCTGCAATTGTCCCAGTCAGAAGACAGAATACTACATGGTCCAATCCATTGCCTAATGAAAGAAAAGGATCTGAGGGACAAGATGAATAGTGAGCAGTGCTTACTCCTCTCACATGGTTCTGTTCTTATCTATGTGATTGAGACTCAAACAAAACATTTTGTTACTTTTAGCAAAGGTAGAAAAATTTATGAAAGTGGGTAAAATTTTGTTATAAATATGCAAAAGATTTACAAAGAATTGACTATGTATTTGTAAATAGTAGATAGAGCACAGATTGGTAGATGATGGATGGATGGATGGATGGATGGACAGACAGATAGGTAGGAGCATGGCCTACATGTCACAGCACCAATGTCTTGGAGACTGAGAAAGAAGTGTCTACTTTGAGAGAAGCATGGCTGAATCTGGAGTAATAAGGTAGATGTAATTTGAGGACACGGGGAGCTCTGTTCCCAGTGGCTACACATGTCCACAGAAGACCCAGTTATGTTTTCCACAGGGGCACCTTCCCCCAGAATGCACCGCAACAAGAATGCACCGCAACAAGCAGAGGACAGGTATGCAACTTATGCTTCAAAAGCACAAACATGGGAGATTCCTGCAGTTAAAAAAATGCCTGAACTGGTCTATAGAAACAAGAGATAGATTGGAGATGGCCATAATACTCAGGAAATGCGCAGAGAGCAAGTACAGAGTCCTAGAAAGGCAAGAACTAGCAATATGGACATTTTTTTTGGTACTAATAGCATTTAATGATGACCATGAATGCCACTGTGGGTCAAGCTCTGGTCACTCTGTGTAGTTTTTTTAATTTTACATATTCATATTTATAGCAGACAAATCAGAAAGGGACGTGGAAGGAAAGA